AGGCCATTTTGATATATTTTTATTTTCATTTGAAAAATAACAAGAAATTTCCACTTCCTTCAAAAATTCCCATTAGAAAAAAACATTGCGCTAGTATTACTGAAGTATGGTTATATTGTTTACACGCTAGGGACATAATCAGCACTTTATTTCAATGTATTTTCTTCTAAAAAATAACAAGAAAAAAATTCCTGTCATCATAATTTTCTGGGGTTCTTTTTATTTCAATATTTTATTGGGACTCTTAGTAGCCATTTCATTACATTCTCATTTAATGTAAAAAAATGTAAAAAATGTCCTCCTCTCTTGAATTATGTCTTAATGTAATAGAATGTTACTTGATGCATAATTTTTGTTTTAATAAATTTCTTTCATTGCTATAAATGGGATATTTTTTCAATTTTTCACTTTCCTTTATTCATTTTCTAGTTCAAGTATGAATGGTGTTCAAAACAAAACGTTTTTTAAATTAAATTTCTAGACTCTTCATTTGTAAAAATAATAGAAGTCTGAAATGGAGTAAATTTGTTTTTGCAATATAGTGGAGTGGTTTTCAAAAATTTGTGAAATACAATTTAGCATAATTTACACTTTACGTTTCATTGCTCACATTTTCTTTTTATTCTCTCTTTATTTCCATTTTAAGATTTTTAATTAATATACAACTAGTAAAAGTATGAAATGTGTTCATGAAATGAAATGGGATGGGAGAAATCCCCCTTTTTTATTTTTGTTCACTTTTTTCATTTATATCCAATTATACAATTCCAAAATAGAATAAACCATTTTGATGTATTTCCATTTTCACTTTTTGTTATTCATAATACTTGTCTGAATAGGGTGGAATATGTTTGAATGCAAAATAGGATAGACATGTCTTTCAATATCTTATTTCCAGTTTTCAGTTTTYTTCATTTATACAAACATTGGTGTAAATTTTTTGATTGCAAAATGGTAAACAACCCTTTCCTATTATTTTCATTTCTTCATTTATAACTARTATACAAGTCTACAATAATTGCAAGAATGAAAGGTTTGCTTTTCAATTTGAATTGGGAAAAATACTACTTCACTTACATTTTTATGTATTCCACACTTTGCTCATATTAATAATCAATAGAGTGCAAATAATATACCATAGGGAACATAAAGAACATAACGTAAAGAAAAGCACAAGACATAAAACAATGGAATTTAATAGATGGGTTAAAAATATACAATCCACACTGGAGCAAGATAAACAATAGATTGCAATTTGAAGTTGCACTCCACTGATTTCTTGATGCTTTGCTTATTTCTCTACTTCCACAGTTAGCACTAATCATTTATTATTAGCTGGCTATTTCATGGGTATACTATTTGCACTCTACATCTTTACATATACATGTATATTAAGTTATTGAGAATTAATATCTATTGATTRTTTTCTTCGTCATTTGAATCAGTATCCCAATGTTCACTAGTACTGTCACTATCATCTACATCTTCCATTTCATTTGAGAAGTCATTGTCTTCATCTGTGGGTATCATAACTGGGTTATTACTGGTGCTAATGTAATGGATCTTCTCTTCCACAAAGTAAGGAGAAACTCCCAAGCCTTCCAATTGTTTCGTAAGTTTAGAAATGTCTTCATACATAGCAGCACATTTTTGTAATAGTAATGCTTTCAACCCAGGCTTCATGTTCATAGTGCATTGATTCCTTATAGCCTGCAATTGAGCAAACTTTGCTTGAACAAGAYGGATCATTTCTGTCTTGACAAGCTCCACCTCTTCTTCACACCTTTCTCTGTAGCTGTACAAACTGATTATCTTCTTCCTTACAGACTGAGGGATTTCATCATTAGTCTCATTTGAAACAGCACTAAAAATTGTATTTGATGGGTCCTTGATCTCATGGAAAGTCAACCTTTCYGATGTATCCACCAATGCATTAAATACAACCAAACACTTTTCCATGGATTTTGTGGCTTTACTGATTTGTGTTGACAGCTTAATGGCTATGCTTTGACCATCTGCAAAATAAAAAAACAATAGTACTGTCATACATTTTTGCTTGTTTAACAACAGATCCAGATACTCAATATGCTGCATGTGCTTCAACTGCTTTGCTAAAACAAATGAACACCATATAAATTATACTAGATTGCATAAATTATCAGCCACAAATGTATATCAAGCTACTTGCAGGAGAACAGTTGAAAATAGTYTTGAATATCGATAAATCATAACCTGCATATTTTTTCTTCATTTCTAAAAGAAATGTGCGTTCTGAAGCCAAACGATGTATGTCAAGCAATGCTAGAGTCTTCTTCTTAATAAACAATCGCTTCTTGACAGTTTCAAAAACTGTAGCATCCTCCTTCCATCTTGTTTTGATATTGTACTTTTTTTCTATGGAGACCAACTCCTTTTCTTTCCTAAAAATTGTAGAATAATAAATTATTGAATATACAAATAAACTTGTCACGAGTGACCTTGCAGCACATCAGCTTCATTATGTGGTTTTATATCTGCAGTTGGTAGAGAATTGCACAATAATCATTGTCCACAATAATCAGGCATAAATTTTCACCTCTTTTTCTTATTCTGAATGGACTCTGTGGCCTCTTGACCTATATCCATGCATCTCAAGTCAGCACTGTRAAATACAATGAAGTGACTGTTAATTTTTTGGATATTATGTACACATTATTTGCCCAGTCTGGTGAGCATCATGATATTTTGAAATAAAAAAAGGCACTAAAACAAC